CCCCAAAACCCCAAAACCCCATGAAGATTAATTTTGGATGAATCTAAATATAAGTTGAAAATAAACTTTTTAAATGCATCTAAATATATTCAATAATAATCTACTCATTTTTTATTTATACTTATCAATGTAGTTTACTTATCTATCCCATTATTCACCCCTTCTTTTCAATTATAAAATTGATTAATCCTAAAATTGATGTAATCACTATTATTGCTGCTAATAATCCTGAAGATAGTTTCTCTCTTGAAAATACAGATTTGTTTTCATGTATTTTCCAATATAGCATCACTGGTATGATAAATCCAATCTATATGCACAATCATTATACTAAAATTTACCATAGGATTGGTTGTGCATCCTGCAAGAGCCATAGCATCTCCAATCGATGGAATGAATAATGCAAAAAAGTAGCTGATAAAAAGCAGGATAAATGTCCAAATAATATTTTATTTCTTTGTCATAATCCTATCCTAGTATAAAAGCTCTTCAACTGTCTCTTTTGCAGGTAATATACATAGAGGTGTTGCTGCAAGTACAGATAGGAACGAAGAGAGATTGCCCTATTAGAAAATTAGAAAATTCTATTTACTATAGTGATTGCAATGTTATATCCGTAATCAGCTAATAAAATATTTTATCTCAAAAGCTACTCTTCATGATCAACGAATGTTAGATATCCAAATATCCCCACGAATGCATACATCAGCATACCAACAAATGATCCTCTCCATACTACCTTATTCATTCTTCTCATATTTTTTCTTTCGAGCTCATTATATATCATAGTAATGTTAACTTAGAACATATAGGCAAATAGAATCATTGGAAAAGACTCAGTAACACCAGAGAAAGAAAGCTACAATTAGATCTTAATTAAAAGAGATGGTTACTTTGATCATCGAGGCTTTCTTAAGGTTCTCAATTGGACTTGGAACTAACTGCTTATCAGTCAAGAATATGAATGTGACGACTATGGCTACATATATAGTGCACAGCACTCCTAATGCTGAAGCGATACTCAGTCTGCCAACTTATCTAGGAAGTGATAATGGAAATACTAAGAGAAACTATAAGTTATTATAAGAATAAATTACTTACAGAGTACAGGGTTCCCCAAAAGACCTCTCCAGTGAAATTGTCACTCATAAAATAGGGTATATTATCCTTGTGAGTTAATGTATGTAAGATCAATGGTATTGATTCCTTTTACTATATATATTTTGATAAGCATATATCCTCATTCATTATTTGATAGATTATAAGAATATTTAATTTAGCATAGAAACTTACAAATACTATAAAAGACATAATAAAGCCAAGTAGACAACCTAGATTGCAAATAGAGGTTAGGTATTTCATCTTGGGGCCATATAAGGCTAATGATATGTCTTCATATCTGCTTTTCTAGGTGTAAACACTAGCAGCAACAATGAGCATGCCGGATTGATAGGAAATGATGGCACCAATAACTATGAGTACAGTCCCCAAAATTAATCCATTAAGATGAATAGCATAAGGAAACGTCAGTGTTCCTGCTCCAATAGTGGCTGCTATCAATGAGAACACTGAACTAGACTCTCCTCCTTGTCTCAACTTGTGCTTAGTGTATATGACCGGTTTTAATACCTAGAGGCAATATTATTAAATCCAGATTACTATTTCGTCAAAGACGCTTCAAGGTGATCTAGCAGATTAATCTGAAAAGTTATCATGTTTCGAACCAACTGATATTTTGTCGTTTACATTCTGAGTTTAAAGAGACTCAACATTTTTCTCGGTCTTTTGAATCTCCCAGAACTCTCTCTCCTCGTATTCTATCAGTGCTATGTCATCAATCTTGATCAGTAATTCTTATTTGTCATTCTAGCCTCTAGACATTATCACGCCCCAAATATTATTAATGAAGATTAATCATTCAGTCTCAAATTATTCGAAAATTAGTGAAATCTGGGGTTTTGGGGTTTTGGGGTTTTGGGG